TTTTTTGAATTGACTGTATACTATGACCCAAGCAAGCAGCATCAGTAGTAGTAGTTATAAGGAATGTAGAAGTAGGAATGTGCTTGTCAGTTTGTGGCAGAAAATGCATTAATTTGATGTTTCTGGAAAAAAAATCCTAACAAAGTGTCTTTGTCTTGCAGAGTATCAAAATCAAGTAAGAGAAAAAGCAAGCATTTGGCATAAACTAGTTGGAAAGAAATGAAGATGTCCATTCGTTGGAATAATTACTCTCAGTAGAACTGTATAAAGGCTTTATTCATCTTACTGATCGAATCTTCTCCATCTGATTGTGTGAGATGTGGTTGTCTACTAAGCTTTTTTTAATTCAATTTATGACACGTTTACAATAAACGAACAATACTAGATATTTACAATGGTATAACTTATATTCAAGGRTTTCCATTTTTTAAGATGGACATTGGTGTCATATATATTACGATGCTTTTATTTGTCGATAATGTTTCAATTTTCCAATAGGAAACAAAGGTCTGGTTGCATGGAGTATGTTTGGATTGATTTTTTTATTTATTTTAATATAAATTAATATGAGAAAATTAACTCGTTTGTGCCTTCATTGATACCCAAAACGATATTTACATAATAGAGTACCGAAGTGATGTCACAAAATTGGATGTCACACTACAAAATTAAACTTCTACAAAACGGGCAAATGTAGGAGGCCGAGCATTCGGTCTTTGAGGGTAGAGTTTGGAAAAGTGATCGAGATGTCACACAAATTGAATTAAACCTCTACAAAACGGGCAGACAGACAGACAGACAGACAGTCATATTTTATTTGGCGTTATGCACATAGTTGCACATCAACTTAGTTCTAAATAAGTTAAGAGTATATACGTGTGTTTATGTATGCGCATAATATCTATATTCACATATTCCGCACATATACATCATACGTTCATACATATTCTGTGTATTCTCGACTTTCACATCCCCATAATGCCTTGCGTTTTTGGGGGTACACATTCAAAAAACTGTTCCAAATTGAAAGGTATCTTAATTGAATGTATACTATACCTGCTTTTATCTTTACAATACTGATTATCAGTTTATTCCAAGTTATTTTTGCGTGTACAGATCATGAAGAGTTTTGGTCTTACAGAAAATGTATTGACTTACGAAAAAAGGATTATGGGGATGTGAAAGTCGAGAATATAAATGTTCATATAATTATTTCGACATATTAATTGCGTTACTAATCCTAATTATCTTTACGCAGTATTATAAGAGTATTGATTTTCATTTGTTTTGTTGTTTGCTTTTTTTCACTACGCAGAGCAAAACAATTGTAAACGTATTTTGCTGCAGCTGGATGTAAAATATGGGGAGGATCTATCAACTTCAGGAACAATTACTCCTCCCTAAGGGAGCTATTTGTATTATTTTGCGTAATAAATTCTTTTCTAAGTTTGGAGTGTAGAAAGCATTTAAGGTGGAACCAAACTAATTCAGAATTTTGGACAATTTTATTCTCGCTCCCTTCGCCAAACTGTTACGTCAATTTAACTGTATTTTTCATATAACGTGCTTGGATTATCCTAGATTCTAACAGTGTGTTTTATTTTAAGATTTTTTTAATGTTTAGCCTATTACGGCCGAAAATCAAACAGTGCTATTTTTAGTTTTTGGCTTTTTTCTCCTCATCCTCAGCTACGATTTTTCTGAAATTTTATCATCTAGTAATATTGCAGCCTGTGTATAAAATTGGATGGAAAATCTTGATGTAGGAAGTTTAAAGGAAAATCTTGGAGCCSTTTTGAAGAAAAAGGCGAAAATGTGATTTTTAGCAAAACTCTCATATTTGAGGTTTACAACGTCAATAAAAAACATTCGATGAGTTTTTAAGATTTGATGCTGATTTTTCGTAAAGCTCATCCGCAATACTTGGAAATAGATATGTGAAAACTTCAAGGCAATCCAATGATGATGTTTCTAAAGCGCGATATTTCATATCAGTAGCGTAGCTAGGGGGGGCACGTGCCCCCCAAATTTTTAAACAACTTTTTCGAAAAAAAACAAAACATATTAAACCAAAACGAAAGAGGAAAATAGATTATTGCAACCTAGGAAAGTGCGCTGTATAAATCAGACATACCAATACGAATTTGTTTCTTTTTTGTTTGCGCGTTTATTCGCTATGAATTATTTTGGTTCCACCTTAATTAGGAAGTGTCTTTCATCTTCTATTACTATCAGTACAATGAAAGCACTTCCTTTCCTCTACTTTCTTGTAACTAGAGTATCTGCCTCTTTCAATTTCTAAGTCATGATTAAGTATAGTCTTAGCTTAGTAAGGCTCTTCTGTGATCAAATGTTTTACATTTATTGAGTAACCTTCTAAAGCCCCGTTTACACTAGCGATTTATGCTGCGATTTTTTTGCGATATTGTCCATAATAAATAATAATAAAGAATTTACTTGTTAAGTTTTTTTCAGGATAGCCGGATTTTCCTAGACGAATGTCTCTTTCGAAGAATGAGACAAAAGATTTCATATTTCCGAAAATTGCCACAAAAATCGCAGCAAAAATTGGCGCAAAAATCGCCATAACTAACTTTGAATAGGCGAATTAGCGATCTTAATTGCTGGGATACCTGTGGTATACCAGCTATAAAATGCCTTTGTTTTTTTGTTGTTTTTGTTTTTTCTCCGCGACAAAATGGCAAAGTTGCGCAATAGTACACATACATGGATTTAAATGACGTAAACTATTACCCAGAAGACCTTTGCGGGTTTCTGCTATAGGTTTACCGTCTATGTGCTGACTAATTAGCATTTGCCTTGCTGTTAATCAATGTCAATATTTTGCGAAGTGATTAGGAGGGGGCGGAGTGAAACTTCGCCAGAAGACTGAACAAAGTAAAAGTAACAACTGCAGCAGGTTTTGAGGCAAACTGTTGAGTGAAACATTTTATTTTCGTAACTTTATCATAACTCCCATACATTCCCTTATAAACCATACACAGCTGGTTAATCTAAAAAAATATTGATCTAAAAAAATAATAGAACGTATGGGGTTTGAGGACAGCTCCCCCGCCAAAATACCATACATTCTCTCTGATTATTACGATTGGTTTATAGCCTGATAATAATAGCCTGTGAGCTTTCAATGGGATGGGGAAAATAAGATAAATTAAATCACTTTATTTAAGTGTCTGGAGCTTTCATGGGATGAGGTTTGCTTTTTTATTAGATTAATATTTCCACACTTGTTCCCAGTCCCTTCCTCAATTCCGGAAAAGGCGATTTCAACGGTAAGTTAAAATTAAGCGAGTGAAACGTGAATTGTCCTTTCTATCTGAAAGGACGATCTTAAACAATTTTATGGTAATGCAAAACATCAGTATTGAATCATGTAAAGTGTAGATTATTCACTTTCGTCTGACCTCTTTTGATTTTACTATCAAAGCACAATCACATTGGAAGGTTTGTTATATCCCATCCACAACTGATCTCATTTATCCACAAGGTTTAGAACCAGGTAGACAAAAACTTTGCTATTCTCGTACCGGAGCCTATTAGTCCTCGAGAAGAAGATCTAGGAACGAAAATAAAACTAAAAGTTTCGGGGATTTCGAGGTATCCCAACGAAGAATAAGACTTCCTTACCCCACAACACACAATGTTGACTCGCACGTAAGATTCATATCTATTTTAAAATAAAGCACAATCCTAAAAAAAAATTATAAACGCATGACAAGCAAAATAGCAGAATCATCATTGCTTTAAGAGCAATATAACCTTGTTCTTCTTTCTTGACATAAAGACTTTCACACCCATGTGAATTTCCACTTTCCGCACAGTATGATGTCCCCATCTTGATTTTTGCAATGCCCCTTCAGCACGTATTCGCCCTAAAACCAATAATAACAGGAGTGCGATTGAAAAATTTACCAAATAGAGCTATGCCGGTTAATTAAAGGTAAGGAACTGTATGAATGTTGTTTAGAAATACACGCACGAGCAATTGAACGAGCAATATTAGCTCTTTCTTGGTGTTGCTAGGCACCTGAAGCATTTAGACAAAATGGCATTAGGCAATGTCGGTCAGTTCTTTCCAAAGTCTCCTTTTAATAATATTGAACTGCACAAGAATCATACAAGACATCTCACCTGATTCATGGCACAAGGCACCGGTATTTGCACCTTCTTTTTATATAGCTCTACAACCAAACAATTAAGACGTTAGTGGAAAGTTGCCGTTATTTTCCTATTTCAGACCAAGTATAATTCCCTTGAGTATCATTTCTATGTTTAACAATTATGCATGAGAAGGCACATGAATATGGATGCAGCTCAAGAAAAGAATCTTATTCACAAGGGAATGACACGTGGTCTGAAATGGGAAAACATAACGCACACCAAGCTTGAGAGGTCTATTTCGAGGTTTACGTTATTCTTCCCTTCTCTTATATTTCTTTTTTTTTTTATGTTATTTCTAGCTTATATCTAATGCAGCGRAAGAGAAATCTTAAGAGCAGATCCAGGATTGAGTGGTTTATCCATTCGATATAAAGAAAGTTAGACTCGTAAATTATCATTCAACTCATGTAATTCCTCGTAAATATTTCTATTTATTATATAATTACCAATGAAATATCTATTTTTCTCTATTTCGAAAAATTGATATCTTCACAAGTGAAAATAACATGTTATTTCACGTGTGAAAATAACACCATTGCGATGGCTATTCAAAAATACACGGAAAGAATTGCCTGAAAAAGCCAAAACATACTTTCATTGATAATTATATAATAAACAGAATATTACATGGCCTCTTGGATATACGAATTTTATCTTCTCGTGTTGAAAATCTCTCACTCGTTCGCTGCGCTCACTCGCGAGAGATCTTTTCAACACTCGAAGATAAAATTCGTATCTCCACGCGCCCATGTAATATCCTCTATTTATCAGTTTACTTTAAACTATACATATCTTGCACATATAAGTTACTTGCATCTTGCCATGATGAAAGTAATTAATTGTAATTCAAATCTATTACAGCTACTCAGCTCGATAAGTTTTCGCTTCTCTGAGCAGCTTTTACACAGTGTTTAAAAGGTCTTCAATCCGAATATCACACCAAAGGGGTCTTAAGAAGTAAGACCCTTTTCGAGTAAATCTCCTTCATATACTAGAAAAAATTGAAATATAATCGAAGAGAAATATAATGTCACGTAAGAAGTTAAGACACTATTTGATGCTTTTGTTGTTAAAATACATGTATGAGACATGCATTAAAGCGTCCAGATACTCAAAAATTCGTATAGTGCGTATTCGAGTTCAGTTTGTTTTTTTAAAAAACAAATATCACGAGTACAGTTTAGCGTCACTGCACGA